TGTGGTGTCACATGTTACTTGCCTATTATAAAAGAGGGTCATGACTCAAAATATGTTAGGAAGCACTGGTGTAATCATTTGATTTTTTAAAAAAAAAATTTTGTAAATGCCCTCCAGAAGATTTTTCTGGCTGTAAAACCCTATTCAGTCAAGTTTTAAAACATGTGGAGGCCACACATGTTGAGGGAAGAGCACTAGTTAGTCCTTTCCATCATCTCTTTGATTACAAAAATGCGATGGGAGGCTACTATACGCAGGTAGCTTCTCCATGTGAGCCACTCACCTCTCAGAGGTTTTAGCTCACATGGAGTAGCTGCCCAAGTACAGCCTCCTCCTGATCTTCATTGAGACACTGTTTTTTCTATTATTAGAGGCCACAGAGGGAGCAAGGCTAGCAAGCTCCTAGCAATACATGCAAACTCCACACATTAACTGCGTGGCTAATCAGCTTTTGTTTGTAAATTAGGAGTGGGAAATATAAGCCCTAGCCCAAACGCAGCCTGGAGGTACAAACCTGGGTTAGCAGAGAAAGGAAAGGATCATAGATACAAGGCACAACAGCCACAATCAGGGTTCCGCATGTTGCATTAGAATTGTGTGCATGTGTGTTCAGGTAGAACGAAAATATACTTTGTAAACCACCATAAATGAGAGTCTACGAGTTTGCATTTACAAGGAACCACCACCCACTGTTTTATTGTCAATTACACCTATTCCACTAGAATCTTCTCTAAAGTCTCCCACCCACCCCATCTATACCAGGACAGAGATGTCCCCATAGGACCTATCTTGTAGGACCTGTGAAGGAACATTCAAGTATTAATCTTTTTTTTTCTGGATTACCACTGCCTTAGGGACTGAAATAGTCATCAAATGTAAATGAAAGCCTTAAATTTGTGAGACAGGGGGACAGCAATCCTGCTTGGCCGCCACTGAGTACTAGATCACTTCACAGAAAATTACTTTTTCTAGCTATCAAACTGAAAAATGTTGTTTAACATGACCTGAGTATACTAGGATAGAAAATAAGGTGCAGTCATCACCAGTTCTCACCAGGCCGCAGTTCCAAATCCAAATTATGCCTCCCATCATCACTTTCCCCTCCTCCCAAAAAAGTAGTTTTGTCTATGAAACAGTAATCCAGCAAAAATACTGCAGATTCACCATCCACCCTCCTACTGCTATGTAATATATCTGCTTAATCATTTTTAAAGCTAGAAAATTATGATGCATGTCAATTATTCTTTTCTAAACTGCTCGGCTTTCCTTGATGTTTCCAAAATACTGTGTTAGCAATGAAACAACTCTCCTGTAGTATGTGCTCCACCTTGATTTGAGAAAGTAACCTCAAACTGTGTATCTAAACAAGCTGTACTTTACTGAAGTAAGGGGGGGGAAGAAAAGAACCCCCAGAAAAGCTGCATACAGTCAACCCTCGACTTACAAACTTAATCCATTCTAGAAGTCTGTTCGTAAGTTGAAAAGTTCTTAAGTCGAAACCAAATTGCCCCTAGGAATGCATTGAAATTTAATTAATGCGTCCCTATGGGGAAAAAATTAAAACAAAGTCACTTACCAGGTACTCGTAAGTGAGCCTGGCTCCTCACAGTGCCTTGGTAGAAGCCATTTTGTGCTCTTCTCCGCTCCTGCCCCTCCTCTCAGCTGATCGGTGCTGGGTCTCAGACGCTCCCCTGGGCTTGCTCAGCAGGTAAAAAGGCAGTGCAAAAGCACCCGGGGAAGCCTCTGAAAGCGGCGTTTTACTGCGGGGGGGAGGGGGCAGGCCTGCTGCCCCCCACGGCAAAGCACCGCTTTCAGAGGCTTCCCTGGGTGCTTTTCCACTGCCTTTTTACCTGCTGAGCAAGCCCCGGGAGGCTTCTGAAAGCAGCGCTTTGCCAAGAGGGGTGGCGGGGGGCAGGCCCGCCATTCCCCCGCGACAAAATGCCACTTTCAGAAGCTTCCCCGGGTGCTTTTGCACAAAATGGCTGCCGGGAAGTCAGGGAAAAAGCTTGAAACAAAGAAATTGTGCTTTTCCCCTCCCCCTGGGAGGCTTCTGAAAGTAGTGCTTGCTACGGGGGTGGGTGTGGCGGGTGGCAGGAGGGAGGGAGGTTCCCTACCTTCCCCGCACATTTTTTCTGTTTGCGAGTCCGTTTTTCCCTAGTAGAGCAGTTCGTAAGTTGAAATGTTCATATCTAGAGTCTTTCGTAAGTCGAGGATTGACTATTAGAGATCTACCCTAGAAAAATAGCTATTTCTGCACTCTGGCAAGGCTCTACCTCAAAGAAATAAAGAAAAACATGCAGAGAGATTGTAGCACTGATCCATAAATCAGAAGACGGCAAGTCAGAAGTGTAAACCTTCTGGTATAAGAAGAGTGAGAAAGCATGTACACACACAATGATAGTTTCACATTAGCATGATTCTGGTTATATTAGATAAAAATATGTAGCCAGTAATGATACAAATATATTATTTATGTGCACATAAATCACACATAAAATCCACCTGACAATTTTCACACTTTGCATATATGGAAGGGAGTTCTATGAACAAGTCCTTAAGCATTTCAGAAAATACAGTGGGAAAGCAACGACTTGCACCCACCCATTGGCTGTTAGGAAACTTTTATAGAAAGTAAGAACACAAACACGAGAGCAATTTTTGCCTTCCACTGAAGATGCCTTGAACTATACTGCCACATAGAGGAAATTTACAGATATCACAGATCACTGTGAGTTCAAGGTAAAATCAAGCTTGAAATCATTCTAGAAGCAAAAATGAGTAAACCAAGGCTGTGACTTTGGGCACGTCATGGGAAGACAAGGCTCACTGGAAAGGACAATAATGCTAGGAAAAGCTGAAGGCTGTAGGCAAAGAAGAAGACTGAATGTGGAATTATTTGAAGCTTTGAGTCCGGAAGACCTGAGCAGGCTGTTACTGGTAGGACCTTCTGGACATCACTGATTCATATGGTCACCACAGGCTACGAGTGACTTGTCAGTACATAACAGAGGGAACTGGCAAAACCTCTATAGAAAAATAACTTTAAGGAGTTTGATACTTAAGTGTTGGATATCATTTTTCACTATAAGACCCACTACTAGTCCACAGCCTGAGGAAAGGAAATCATTCTCTTTATTAATATATGACAAAACAACAACAAATAGGTTCCAACATGTATGTTTAAGCTACAGATGGCTAAGGAGCTAAAATGACATGGTACTATCCTGAAGCCTGCAAGAAAAGCAGCACTATAGAAGTATAATATTTTCAACTCTCCATGATGGCTGGTTTAGATGGAGGGAGAGTGTGGATGAAGGGTTCACTCCCCTGGCTAAGCTCCACTGTCCCCATGCCATTCAGAATCTCAGTACTTGGTCGGTTTGACATACACTGACTATTGTTTCATAACTCTATGTTTTGGTGATTCAGTTATTGGCAGTGTTGTGCTGTAATTTTATATCAGCATAAATGTAATGATAAAACACTGGCAGCAAACTGCTACTAATTTTTGAGTTGCTGCTTGTGCACAACTAAGAATGCAAAGACCAGCTCATTAACTAGAGGTCATTCACCACCACAGCTTCTACCATGTCAATGTATATGTGTAATTTCAGGTAGCAATAGGATATTCAAGTTCAAGTACAGTAGGACTGTCATATCTGCTGGGGATTGGTTCAAAGCCCCCTCATGGATACTGAAAACTGTGGATAATAGTGAACACTACATAACATGGTAAAAAGAAAAAAACCAGAAATATATTTTCACATGCATTATCAGAACTGGCAACTAGAGGGCACCAGAAACCATTCTATGCATCTTCACTAACATGTACAGTGGTGCCTCGCACAACGATGTTAATTGGTTCCAAAAAATTCATCGCTGTGTGAAACCATCGTTCTGCGAAACACCATTTCCCATAGGAATGCATTGAAAACCGGTTAATCCGTTCCAATTGGAACGGATTGCCATCCTTAAGCGAAAATCGCCATAGGAAACATCGTTGAGTGAAACCCGGTTCCCCAATTGAAATGCATTGAAGCCGACTCAATGCATTTCAATGGCTTTGCGAAGTCCTTTTTCGCTCATTTTTAAGTGTCTTACAATGTTTGGAACCTGTTTTAAATGCTTGCAATCATTAGCCCACCTCCTGAACCCTACGCAAACTTAATTTGGTGGTGTTCTGAGTCGTCGTTAATTTTTGGTGAATTTTTTTATTCTCCATTGAAAGCCTTTGAACGGACCGTTCAAAGGCTTTCAATGGAGAATAAAAAAATTCACCAAAAATTAACGACTCAGAACACCACCAAATTAAGTTTGCATAGGGTTCAGGAGGTGGGCTAACGATTGCAAGCATTTAAAACAGGTTTCAAACAGTTTAAGACACTTTTACAGGAGCGAAAAAGGGACATCAAGTGAAATTCCCCCATAGAGAACATCGTTAAACGATGGGGGAAATTCCTCAAAGAAACCCATCGCTGTGTGAATTCGTCGTTGTATGAAGCAATCGTTGTGCGAGGCACCACTGTATTCAACTGGCTCCCTGTAGTGGCCAATTCTGGCAATAAACATTAAATTAGTTTTTTTCTGGCATTTTAAAAATATTTTGAGACTGTGGAGAAGTGAATCAGTGGATACTGATCCCATTGATGAGGGGGTCCTAGTGTACTCTATTTCTGCCTCATGCATATAAAACCAAGGTACTTCAATTATGCTCACAAAAGAAGCTCTTAAGAAAAATGTTAACCACCCATGGGAGAACATCAATGTATTTTTTCTTTATCCTGATTAACTTAACAAATTTTCACATATAGGATGACTTTCTGAATAGCACTGATTGTGGTAGTCTCCCCAATTGTAACTTTGCAGCCTACATAGCTGAAAGCATATACAAATTTCAAAGAATTAGTATGTATAGATGTTACAGGCTCCAGCTCCATTAGAGAATGCTGCGCCTGTACAGCCTCTGTAGCCATTAAAACCAATCCTTTTAGACAGAAGTTTAGGTATATCTTTTTGAAACAATTTAATTCAAAGATCAGTTTCCAGTATTTTCCTAAAAAGAAAAAAATCATTTTACAAGTCACAAAGAACAATATGGAACACACCCAAGAAAATCAGCTTTATAGAAATATTAGCCACATCTATTTTTGAGCATTGTATATCCACACATTTAAAAAAATAGTTCTTTTCCATTTGTTTTAAGATTAAAGCAGATATTTTGGCTACATAGATCACAAATGGATTAGCTGTGACTGGATGCAATTTATCTGCATTCCCATCCAAAAATGGTTACAAAACAACTGCAACCCGTTCTTGTTTCTTTCTTCATATTTCACACCAGAAGTCATTACCTCGGTTCATACATGTTGCTCTTTCCATACAGCATTTGTTCTGGTGATGCTCATTTCTTTTTCTTTCCTTTTCCCTTTTTGCCTCCCTCACCTTGCTGTAGATTTTGGTCACTGCCTCCCATTTTCTGTGTCCGTGTTTTTAGTTTGGGGATTGTTTCTGCTGCATAAAGCATTACTGACTTACCTAAAAAGGGATGAAGAAAGGAAAGATGAAGCTAGCAACCATGAACAGCCTCTGTTTATTCATTTACACTGTCCTTACAAGGTCATCAACTGACAGCCACAGAGAGAATACCAAAAACAAGCAATCTGCTTCAGAGCTGGTTTACTAGATGCCATTAAATAAATTATTTCATACACAAATGCTTTTGGCTTCTTAAAATTATTTTGCACTATTCTGGTTCTTAGCCACCCTGAGTATACTGAAAGAAGATTGGTATTTCAACCATATACTGTAATCTATGTAAAACGAACATACCAGATGGAAAGCATTGCTTGAACATTCAGCATTTAGACATTTGTTGCTTCTGTCATTAAATCCCCAGACTTTTTGAAATGATTAGGTACAGTGATTTGCCCTTTTAATTTACAACAATAGGGTGTGCCAATTATATTTAGTACTACTTCACTTAAGACTATATGCTCCAAAATGTAAAGATGTTCATGCATTTAGAGACAGAATCTGTTTGTGAAAACGTGTATGAACACTAAACCCACACCCAAGTTTTAAATATGGGGGTGGGATGGATTAGAGTAACATTTTACCCCAAAACAAGATTGTTTTCTGTATAATCAAAGTTCATTGAATACTCCCCTCTCCTCCTTAAAGACTCAAGTCACCTAAGTGACTCAGGTACCTTTACTTTTAGAAATTTTATTGTAAATATTGTATCTCACTCACGTGTTGGAAACTGAGGTTGACATGCAGTGCCATCTTCCTGCTTCAGCTGAATACGCACTCTTCCCCTGTACTGTGCATCACGGTTCCATTCTCTGGGATACATTTTGTTCTTCTAGCATTTGGGTGGAAGAAGTTTAGTATTTTAGAAGTCAGTCAAGTTCAATATACACAAAGCTCAAAATCTTAAATTCATTTACTCTGGAATAATATCTATTAAACTCAGGGGTGGTGGTTTACTTTTCAGTAAAGAAGCTCAAGACTGAGCTAGCTTTATTAATGTATTCTGAACACATTATTTAGCAACCTTTACAGTAGCTCTGTAAGATAAATTATTATCACTGAATTACAGATTGCCAAATGCTATCTAGAGTTCATGGCCAATACAAGATTAAGTGATTTCTTACTGCACAGTGAATTCTCTTAACAATCATGGAACCACCTCATAGATTTTTCTTAGCTCTATCACCATTCTGACTGCTGTTAAAACTATAGGCATATTTTGTACATGTACTATCATGCTTGGGTACATTTGATTCAGATGCTTTCGCATGATATTGGTTCTTTCTAATTACAAAAGTTATCAAAACAATTACATACAATTGCACTGCATGTTGAAAACTACTCATTTACCTCAAGAAGCACATTAAGTCCAACCGCAGCACAAACATCTTGGATTTCAGTAGACGTGGGATTTTCAACTGCCTAGAAGTATCAAACATTTTGTTATCACACTTTCTTTACAACACTTACACGGATTGCAGATTGATTACAATCAGTTATGTAGGAAGGTCTGAAGTTTCCATGATTCTACTGTAGTGGTTTAAATATTTATGCAAATGAGGGGAAGAATGTAAAAATAAGTAGTGCATACAACACAGCAAACTTATCAAAATGCTTTTATCTAATGTAAAAGCATGCAGCTTTAAACCAATTGCTTATGTGGTGAGTTAATTGGTCCAAGGAACAACAGCTCTGAGCACTGCTGGATTTTTTTTTTCAGTAAAAAAAAAAATAGAGTATGAGTAATTACTCCATATTTTTTTACTTGCCCCAAATGGGCACTACTTATCGTCCCAAAAGGGGAAAAACTTTCTCAACATTTTTCATCTCTAATTATGTGGCAGAATGCATTCTTTTAACTACGGAAATTAACTACCAAATGTAGCCATAATTACTGAATGCTTTCCAAACTTAAGGCTTTTTGCAGAGTTTACCAATATAAAAACTACAAAATTATTAATGCAATGTTCTTTAGCAACAACCTAATACAGTCATGGCTAAAAATATTGGCACCCTTGCAATTCTGTCAGAAAATGCAACCCTTCTCTCAGAAAATAGTTGCAGTTGCAAATGTTTTGGTACTCACATGTTCATTTCTTTGGTTTGTGTTGGAACAACACACACACACAAAAAACAGAAGAAAAGTCAAATCTGACACAATCCCACACAGAACCCCGAAAATGCACTGGCCAAAATTATTGGCACACTGTCTAAATTGTAAGAAATCATTGCTTTTCAAGCATGTGATGCTCCTTTAATTTGTATTTAGACACACCTCTCGCTAATAAGAGTTATGAGCAATATAGTAATCACATTTGCAACCAGTTAAGATGGAGAAATGTTGGCTCAACCTTTGTGTTGTGTGAGACACTGAGCATGGAGAAAAGAATGAAGTGTAAAGCATTGTTTGTGAATGAGATAAAAAATTGTGGAAATCAATCTGACAATCTCAAGGCTACAAGTCCACCTCCAGGGATCTTAATGTTCCTGTGTTCACTGTGCATAATATCATCAAGAGGTTTACAGCCCATGGCACTGTAGCTAACCTCCCTGGATGTGGACGGAAGAGCAAAATTAATGAAAAATTATAACAAAAGGTTGTTCGAATGGTAGATACAGAACCCAGATTAACCTCCCAACAAATTCAAGCTGATCTGCAGACACAGGGTACAACAGTGTCAGCTCGCACTATCCGTTGCCATCTGAACGAAAAGGGACGTTATGGTAGGACACCCAGGTGGATACCACTGCTGACACAAAGGCATAAAAAAACAAGGCACCAAAACCTATGTGACAAAACCACAATCCTTCTGGGAGAATGTACTATGGACAGATGAGACAAAAGTAGAGGACATCATGGTACTGTTTACAGAAAAAGAAATGAGGCATTCCAAGAAAAGAACACAGTTCCTACACTCAAACATGGTGGAGATTCAATGATGTTTTGGGTTTGCTTTGCTGCTTCTGGCACTGGATGCCTTGACTGTGTCATGAAATTTGGTATCATGAAATTTGATGATTAACAAAGAATTTTGGGGCACAAAGTAGTGGCCAGTGTCAGAAAGCGTTTCCACCAGAGGTTGTGGGTCTTCCAGTAGGACAATGACCCAAAACACACTTCAAAAAGCACTTAGAAATGGTTCCAAGCAAAGCGCAAAATAGTTCTGAAATGGCCAGCAATGAGTCCAGATCTGAATCTCATAGAACACCTGTGGAGAGATCTCAAAATAGCACTTGGGAGAAGCCATCCTTCAAATCTGAAGGCCCTGGAACAGTTTGGAAAAGAAGAGTGGTCCAAAATTCCAGTAGAGAAGTGTAAGAAACTCATTCATGGTTACAGGAAGTGATAATTTTCAGTTATTTTTTTCCAAAGGGGGTGCTACCAAATATTAAGTTAAGGGTGTCAATAATTTTGGCCAGTGCATTTTTGGGTTTCTGTGTGGGATTATATCAGATCTGACTTTTCTACTCTGTTTTTTTTTGTGTTGTTCCAATGCAAACCAAAAAAATGAACATGCGAGTACTTATGCAACTGCAACAATTTTCTGAGAGAAGGGTTGCATTTTCTGACAGAATTGCAACGGTGCCAATATTTTGGGGAATGACTGTAACTACAGTATCAGCTGAGCAATGTTAAATCCCTTGCACTAACATGAAACATAAAATACATACAGTAAGATAAATATTTATCAACAATAACACAGGAGACTATACTTCCTATATAAGTTGTTGGAAATAAATTAAGAAAAGGCACACAGTCATTAGTTTTATTCCATTATTTTGAATTATTTTATATGACAAACAGCTCTGTGTACTCCCCTCACCCACATTTACTTTGTCAAGAGGTATTCTTCTTCCTTCCGCTATTGTCTTCTTGTTATTTATATAGGCTGGGTATATACAGACAAACCTAAGCCAGAAGAGATCACATTAAATACACATTTTTTCAGAAATTCTCTCCCCCATCCCTCATAAAAGGTGACTCTAATTAATTAGACAACAGAATAACATGAGCAAGATCTTCTTAGGAAAATGCAGAGAACAACTATTGCATAACAGTCTGGATATCCCAACAGAGGGGGAAACTGCTGCATGACTGACCTTGCACACACAGATTTCTGCAACAAAATTCTTAAGCAGTCAAAAGGGTACCAGCACACACCAAGAGACTTGGGAGAATGCAAAGGTTTGAAGAGTTATTTTTAAAAGGCCCAAGTCAAATTCCTAATACCAACTGGAGACTCACTATATCATCTGCTAAATTGTGAGTCCAAATTTGTGTAATTTGTATAGATTTAATAAGCTGGCTGGTTTAGGTACCTGGCTGCCAAGCCTGAGTTTGGCAGGGTGCCTCCTAAAAGAGAAGTGCTGGTCTGCATAGCGGTGGGCAGCCTGCAGAGCCACAGGGCGCCCCCCCAGAGGGAGGGAATGGTAAATCGCTACTACTTGTACCTAGAAAACCCTAGAAGGGGGTGTCCTAAGTTAAAATCAACTTGATGGCATACAATTATTATTGTTGTTGTTGTTGTTGTTGTTGTTGTTGTTGTTGTTGTTGTTAATAATAATAATAATAATAATAATAATAATAATAATAATATATTATTATTATTATTATTATTATTATTATTATTATTAAAAAAGACCAGGCACAATCAAAATTATAAAAACATTGGTATTATACAACAGATAAAAGTTTTAACTAAAAATCTCAAAATATGTATTAAAATTATCTGTTAAATATCGGAGTATTACGTATGCTGTTCCCAATACTGCAGTTTGTTGTAGATCTGACGGTGTTATTTCAGAGATGCTGATGGAGCTAACAGGTCTGTTCTGTTCTGACAGATCCAAGACTCCTACGATTCAATGGGTTAAATTTTCTTCAAGCAGGAGGCAGCTCCCGGCCCCCTGAACTCCATTATCCCACGGTGGGCACACCGATTTCCAAAAAGACCAGAGCAATCGAGAGCTACCGCACAAGCCGAAGAGAAACAGCCACGTACCACCCACCAGGCAGTGCCGCCGTCAAGCCGCACGGAAGACTGGAAGGGGGCCGTCCAGCCCTTCGAATTCCCTTCCCTTCCCTTCCTCCCTCGCTGTGTCTCCAGTCAATCGACCGGAGCTACGCGGCCCTCCCCGACCCACCCGGAGCCGGCAGAAAAGACGGGGAAGCGCGAGAGACGGAAGACACCGAGGGCAAGAGGAAAAGAGTGGCAGCCAAAACCTTCCCCGCCCTCACGAGGCGACGTTCGGCCCTCACGGTACCGGGATTTATCAGTAGGTAAAGCGGAGGCCGCCCAAGCCATCGCCTCAGCGCCGGCCAAGGAAAAGCGCCAGCTCCTTCCTTCCTTCCGCACAGCTCCCCGCAGGAGAAGGCTATCGAAGAGAAAGGGGGAAAAAACCCGGCACGGACGAGGTGGGAGAAGAAGAGGAAACAGAACAGGATGTCCCACCCTCCTAGCGGGTGACGTCGCCTTCTCTCAATGGCTTCAGGGCATATCAATCAAGATGCAGGGCAGGTACAGAAAGTGGCAACGCGTCATTGGTTTTGGGGAAACCAATGGCGAAATAGAGGCGCCGATACCGCGAGAGTTCCCCGTCCCATTCTCGCGTTAGGCAAGTTAACGCGTGAGGACCATAGAGATAAGTAATGGGTGGAAAGACGAGATCCTATGGATTTTTTCTTCTTCTTCCATATACCTCTCGCACGCCCCTGTCTTGTTGCCCAGCGGGCTGAGTGGTCTGTGGGAGTCCATTTGTTTGAGTTTCATGGCATGCAGTCATAAGCAGGGTTACAGACTCTCTGGCACAGGAAAATTGCTGTCCAAAAAACATGGTGGGCAGTGCCTTTATTACACCACTAAAATTACACCAATAGCTGCTATCTGTCAAGCTGGACTTTCCATCATGACAGAGCTGACGTATCCAGGAAAGACACACACACCCCCAAAAAAATCATGGCCAGGCATATATTTCCTTTTCAAGTATCCAGGTGGGAACACGTATCATAGGGTGAGGAGTGGTAAAGGAGAACCAAGTTTGGGTTACATTTGTGTGAGGGGGCATTAAATTCTGGACAGAAATAGTACCAACTGGTGCAGCTGATGGATAGGTACTGGTGCCTTGTAGGCAGTCAAAAGTACCCTCTTTCTTGGCTCAGGTTAGGCATAACCAAAACCTGGCATATCACGTTTTCCACAGATTTGGGACCCAAAGCAGTTCTGCTCCTCTCCAAGCCATTGTCTACCCTGCCTCTGTATCATTATAAAGGCCCAGACCTGGTCTCAGAATTGGGCCTGAAATCTCAGGAAATTGCTGCTCATCTGGCAACCTTGGAATAGAAATCATAAGGAATTAGCGTTCATGACTACACATACATACAGGAAAATCTGGAGTTTGCTGCAACTAAGGTCACTGAATGACTACACATACATACAGGAAAATCTGGCGTTTGCTGCAACTAAGGTCACTGAACAGGATGCAAACCCTGGTGTTTGGACACGACTAAACGACTAAACACACACACACAAGGTCACTGAACAGGATGCAAGCCCTGGTGTCGTTTTAAAATGACACCAATGAGCACTTTTAGAAAATTGCCCCAGGGCCTCCGTCCCTGGCGGGCCAATGCTAGGAAGCTTCCCAGCTACTGACAGCACCAAGTTCAGGGCAGCTGATTCCTCGTCTGCACAACACTGGAGCTGCCCCCGCCAGCTTGTTCATTAGGCTATACTAGAAGCCTTGCCTCTTTGTCCTCTGATTACAGGTATCATAATTATTTTTATACTATCTCATTAATATGTGTGGGATTGTAATGCTAAAACAATTTCCTCCCCAACAATTCCAGATGTAAGACTTAAAACACTATGTGAAGGTTCGTTTGTGAGGCTCTCCTTTTCACCAAATAATGGTTTTAACTGAAACAAGTGTTCTTGATTTATTAACTTGGGAACAGGTATAGAAACATTAACATGCTGAACTTCTAACTTCTCTTGTGGCTGGAACGTAGCACGCAAGGGTGTCCATGAACTGTTTCTAAACAGATTAACGTCTTTTATATCCCAAGGTCCAGCCAATGCCTTTTCAGGTTCTTTGGATTCTCCTTCCTCTTCATCTGGAGTTAGAAGGGGGAGGGTCTCCTCATCTCCGGGCCACCCCCATAACGGGGATCCCTCTCCTTGGGTGTCAAGCCATGGTCTGGGAAGCAGCCCATTTTCCGGAACTCCTCCAAATGCCATGCCCACTTAGCCTCTTGTTCACGGGCAATCCTTAACTTCCTTCGCCACTCCTTTATTTTCCGGAACTCCTCCAAATGCCATGCCTACTTAGCCTCTTGTTCACGGGCAACCCTTAACTTCCTTCGCCACTCCTTCGACTCGGACTCACCCCAATATGAAGGTCTCTGGGGGATTCCTTGGCGCCTTCGCTTCTCAGCCTCTGTGTGAGGCACCCGCTATGAAGGTCTCTGGGGGATTCCTTGGTGCCTTGTCCTGGGCTGCTTTTATATCCCCTGCTCCCGCCTCCACCACAGACCGTTGCTCCTTTCCCGCCCTTTCCCAGTCTGTCTGGGTAGCTACATTTAACCCTCTCATCTCCAACACCAGATCCCATGTGTCTACCCCCTGATGTTTCTACCCTTTATTTCTGGTGATTTCTTCCAACTCCTGGGTGTCCGTACTTCTGTTCTTTCTTAGGAGGAGAGGGTGGTGGGGTGGTCTGGGTCTCCCTATTAACCGCGGGGAGCGACGGCACTCCTAGAAACGCCTCCTGTCTCTGTTTTGGGATTCCACACACTGTCTCCCAAACTCACTTTTAGGTGCCATAATAAAATGAACAAATGTGTAGCAGCAGAGCACAAGTTATTTTAAAAGTATTGTATCCAAAATAAAGGCTGTAACTACACTGGCTGAATAATCCATGGTTTATCTTTATGTTTCTTGTGTCACATCATATCATGTAGTTTTTCTGTTGATATCCCCGTTTTCATCAGAAAGATTAGTTAAATCCCAGTTTATTTACATGCGGTTATACCATACTGTACTTTAAATCAGATTAAACAAATTGGATGTCTGCACATCACTGCTTAAGCATGTTAGCACTCTGGAGGCTCATCAAGGTGTACAAGCTTCATATATTTCAAAATTTGGAGAAAGGATGATCTGTGGAAATACTGGATGCAAATAGCATTAGAATGATGGATAGCAATCTGAGCATATTAGATTGCAAATGCCAATATCTCTACCCAGCATAATGGTAATACTAAATACTGTTAGAGAAATCCTGCTGGATCAGACATACTAGACCAAAGCTCTGTCTAGTGTATCTTTCTGTTAAGTGGATATTTATTTATTTATTGAGCTTCTAGACCACCTGACTTAGTGAAATATGTACTACTCAGGGCAGTTTACGTGATTAAGCAAAACATACAAACTAAAATAATAAAAGAATGCATCGATAATAGTACAGACCAAAAAAAAAAAAACAGGATAACTAGCACAGTTATCAGAAGATCACGAGCAGGACATCTAGCCAGCTCATGCTCCCCCCCCCCACCTTGTGACCTTTCTCTATAGGACTTCTTATTTCTGTCACCCTTTTCTCGTTTGTCAAGTGCAACCCAAACTGAATATAGTATTCCAAATGAAGTTGCATCATTGATTACAAGGGCAGTACTGTATATGAGCAGTTTTATTATTCTTCTCTTTGCAGCCAATACTAAATTACTGAATTTGCCTTTTTAAAATGGCAACAGTACACAGTGACCATTTCATCAAGCTGGGGTTGATGGGATTTGTAGTCTAACTAACACATGCTGGAGAGCAGCATCATAGAAGAAAAAAATGTTTTCTCCACCTATATTTTATTTAAATTTGATACCAGGAAGAAACACTCCTTCCTCTTCCTGTGTGTTCTATATGTACATTTTAAAAATCTGTTTCCAGAATGTCACACATGGAAAAATCACTTACATCTTTTTCTGCAATCTTGTTTCTCAGCTATTTTAGCTCTAGTATCTTCTACCATCTTAGACCTTAAGTTCGAATAACCAGTTCCATAGGTCTATTATAATAATCATAAAGAAGTTATTTCTTAGGGTAAAAAAAAATCCAAAAACATCCCACTCACTGTAAAAGGGCAATGAAATGTACATTTTATGAAACACTGTAAAGAATATGATTAAACTAAGACAAAATTAAAACATAACATTAACTTTAGTTGTTAGAGAATAACAAATTATTGAATGAAGAAAGCCCACTGAAGCTTGATATAGAATATACTGTAATTTGATATCGCGTCGTGCTCTGAGTTTGATAAACTACTTCTTCACAGCTAGGAAAATGTGCATTAATCTAAAGTGAGGAAATGAGATCCCGTTTTCAGCCTAGTAAAGTCAAACACATCATTGTCGTTTAATCTCTCAAAAACAAAAACAAAGCCTCTGGAGGATTAAGGACAAGCAAATATGGGGCTCTTGAACTCTTGGATCTTTCTGGAAGAATAATTCATTACCAGCATATTGTATAGGTGTTCCTTATAAATCCAAAGACATATACATAATGAGTGTGACAAACCCAGACCTACTGGGATCTATCACACAGTTACTAAGCTGCCACCAACCATTCCCTATAATAAGTCACACAGACCAGGGATGGATTTTTAAACAATAAAAGAATAAGGTTTATTTTAAATACAAACAGGGTAAATAAAACAATCAGGTGAATAAAATAAAGTAACGTGGCTTATTCTCACACACACAAGCATACAGTTTGGTTCACCTAGAACCTTTAACTTAAAGCACAGACCCTGAACCCATCAGTTCTGGCTAACCAACAGACCCCTGAACCTTTCAGGCTGGTACTCCGACACACAGTAGTACCCTGTCAGACACACAGACTCCCACAACAGCTTCTTCTTCCCCAGCTGCTGCTTCGTCCCAACCCAGTGTCTCACAGTCTGTCTCAGCATCTACTCTTCACCACACAGGCATCACATATTTATACAGTACAGCCCCTCCTCCTGATGTCCCGCCTTCCACTCCCCATAGGATGGAACTTTCCCTCCAAACCCATGACAGACAGGTAACATCAGTGCTGTTATGTAACACCTCCCCTCTTTAAAAGTTGTTTTGTAGGGGGAAAGCTAAAAGTGCCTTTCACCAAAAAACAACCTGCATAAAATACACAACAACATTTATACATACCAGATAATACTTACATATACTTACACTCCAAGTTAACCATAGCAAATATGCATTTAAACATTTTACCATATACAGTACATCAATTTACCTTTATTAATACCAACCAAAATCAAAACCAGGTACATTTTAACTTTTTGTTTTCATTATATACATATAGTCCATGTTCTTTCGCCGTCTTCAGTCTTCAGGTCTTCTTGATAAGGCGTCAGCAACACAGTTCACTGACCCTCTGACCACCTTCACTTCAAAGTCATAGTCCT